TCCTATATTCAGTGGCATTTCGAGATTCCCGGAGATAGACACGTGCTCGGGGAAAGCGAGCCCTGTCCAAATGACAATAGCCGGATCACTCGCCTTCTTTTGTGAAATGGATAGTAGTGTTGTCGTTTACAAATACCTTACGCCAAGACACTTATCACTAGTCAGAAATTTAATTTTATGACAAGAGCATCCGCGAGGTCAAATACGCGAAGTCTCTATATACCTGTAAAGTCTACAGATCCATCCAAGTTTTACGAAGTATTTTATCGAGTTTTAAAGAGAAATCCAGGGTTATCTCGATTAAATTTTATTAGAGTCATAAAGAAACATACTGGTAATACTAGAAGAAAAGTTTTGTAAAACCGTCAATATTAAGCAAAGCACATTATTGGATAGCCCAAGATGTATGCTGTCATAATCTTCACCCAAGAATCTTGGGTTGAAAATGTATTTGCACAATACTTTATAGTCACTAAACAAGAGCGGATGAAAAAAACCGTTATGTATTGCATTTCGTAAATCAACAGAAAGAGAAATATCTTGTTATTTACCATTCAGAATGTACAGAAAAACTTGCATCATGATTTTCGATGCATAGTCGAAAGGAAAGAAAACACTTCATACTGAAATTTTTAATATTAATCCTCTAAAGTCTGTTCAGAATACGCATTATGAATAAAATTTGACACTTTATAATAATAAAATATTTCCATTCTCCAAAAAAAAAGAAAAGCATCATGCAAGAACATTCTTGATGTCGTCTGTCTATGAAAATGATATTTTTTCCAACTGCTGGACAAGTGGCAGTCAACATTACCGGTACCACCAGAATTAAATGAGACCTGTTTTACATCTGATTTCGAGAAAACATGATAGTTATGTTAACCCTTTATTCCCCCTGGGTCATTTTCGACCCATTCGTAGAAGTGATGTAGTGGAGTAACAAGGCATCGGATCAAGAAGCTTTATGAACATTGTGTAGAGAATTCAACAAGCTCAAGATTCGTAAAAAATAATATTTTTTTTCATCACTTCCTGAGTAAGATATTTGAGTCTGAAAACGGTAAATTTTCCAAAAAGTGAAAAAATCGGATCTTTTTTAAGATTGTTTTTCACTTGCACAGATTCATTATTTTTGCATTCTTACGGTTGATATATACTGCTATGGGAGTCATCTATTTGCAGGAAAGCATTTAAAGATTTCTTGGTTAAAGATGTGGGAGCAGCACGCTTCAAAACATCATAGGTCATCTCTGACCCATTCGTGGTGAGTGACATGAAAAATGTTTTTTTCTGCAGCTATTTTGCTTATTGGTATAAGCTACATTTTCATTTTTTCGTTAGAAATAGCCTTTAGAATATAAGCATTTTATATAAGAAGAGGTTACAGTCCCAACAGTGCCAAAAATCTATTTTTCCATTAGTTTGCAAGATTTCTAGACCGTAGGCATGTATGCACCGTTTTCAATTTCTAACTGAAGAACTATAACTGTAATGTTTATGGATTTTTTTCGCAACATCAAAAGTGTAATGTCTACCTAATGGTCATTTGATAAATTCGAAGCTTGTCCAGAATTCTGAATATAAATTTAAGTTATCTTAAACGCTTCCTCAAAATATATTTTTCGACATAAAAGTAAAGATCTCGGGTGTTTGTGGTAAAATTAAGCGTATGAAAAATGTGTTTTTGAACTTTTAAAAATCGAATTTTCATGTAGAAAAACGAAAATACTAGAAAAGTCACATATCACCGGATCGAAAAATTTTAAAAGCTTATTCGGTCAAAACCGATTGCAGATTCGTCTTGTCCATGGTTGATTATGTAGTACGCGATAACTTGTGGATCGGAGTACTTTAGAAAAAATTTTCGACATTATTTTACCTTTGGTCCCCATACGGTAACATTTGGAAAAATTTTTGAGCGATACCATGGGAAAAAAATTTTCTAAAGTATCCCGATCCAAAAGTTTGTGCGTACCACATAATCAACCATGGAGAAGACGAAACAGCAATCGGTTTCGACCGAACAGGCTTCTGAAATTTTTCGATCCGATGATATGACGCTTGTGCATCATAGATGTCGTCATCTGCCGGTTTTATGTGCGAGCATACAAGTTCGTAGACCTATCTACTTTTTGGGTTAAGGGCCGAAGGTTGATGTCATTAGATTCGCTGAACACCCAGTTTTAAAAGTACGGTCCAAATTGCGGCTCAGCCACAATTCTGCCCTTAATTCTCGATTTTCTCTAACAGAATTTAACTTCTATGTAATAAAAATATCATGTTCAGAATCAGGAGAAAAAAACTAAGTGGAATGATGTGTATTTCGAAAATTTCAGTTGATCCTCATTTTTTTTATGATAGTTTTTCAACGTGAAAATTCGAAAAAAGTTAAAGTAGTCGAATAGGGTAGAAACTTTTTCTAACTCGAAGGATTTTTCGACTTTTAAGACTCTTCGAGTACGTTCGAATTTTGGACATGAAAAATCGGTTTCAAAATGTTCAAAAGCGCATTTTTGCAACCAGCTCGACGCGGGCTGTCCAGTGGTGTATAATATGTTGCAAAACAATTTTGCGCAAGTTTAAATTATTGGCACCTTATATAGTGATTTATCAAATTAGAAATAATTCTTTTGAAAGAGAAATTGCTAGAAATATTGTTAACATATCGGAAGTTAATGTTCATAAGCATTTTTTTATGGAATTCATAGCGAATTATGACAGAAGTGATTGTACTTTGCAGAGAATTTTTACTCATACGATGAATTTTACAAATTTAATGAATTTTATTTAATGAAAGAATTTGTTTCGTCGTCAAATATGGATAAACTTCAAGACATCCCAAAAATGTTAAAGAAGATAATGAACCATGACCTGTAACTTCCTATGTTATTAGAATGAATATTGTAGCTTTTGGGGAATTGATGCAATTTTGAATTGTAATTTAGGCTTAATAAAATAGGCTTAACAAAAGTGCTGGTCAACGTTTCTTAATTTCTTCTTATTGCTAATGACATGAACCAATAAAACCTATACCATTCGATAGGGCTTGAAAGTTGCCGTTTGTGAGATCTGTACAGTAAGTGTTGAAAACCATACTTATTCGGTTATTTGTCGTTTAGTTCATGGTCAGTTTAGTGAAAGATTTTAGGTAAAACGATTTTTGGATCTGACGTTTTGCTTTTCAAATACGAGTCTCACAAGTCTACATTTATAATTTTCCGTGAGTTCATCCCATATTCATCCATCTTCGCGAATCAAAACTAAATCAATTAGTGAAGATCCATTTTTGCTTTTTAAATTAGTTTAAAGTGTACAAGGTGTATACTGTATTGATCAGTCTTTCAGAAAAAGCTTCCTTTTAGTTTTTGAAATATAGTGCTGCAACTATTACCAGGTAATTTCATAGGAAATCGATCAGCATTACATCGACTTTCACCGCAAACTCTGACACCTATGTCATTCGAAAGAGCATGGCATTCTGATCAAGAATATATGGTTTAAAAAATTTTAAAACATTGGCGCGGTGTCGAGGACAAGGCCGACATTATTGATTTTTGTCGTAAACGGGATCCAGGATCAGACCTTTTTCTCGATAACCATATGTGGCCAGAAGTTGCTATTAATAACAAACATTCTACTGCATAGTACTATCAAAATGGCGTATGTAAGAAAGATTCGAATTGCATACATAGAGGGCAGCACATAACTGAAAAATCTCAATCGAGCGAAAACAGACTAACGTAAATACTATTTTCTGACATGATACCAGAAGCAAAAATGAATGCACATTAGTGGATTAGAATCAACTTTTCAAGCCCTATCGAATGGTATAGGTTTTATTGGTTCATGTCATTAGCAATAAGGAGAAATTAAGAAACGTTGACCAGCACTTTTGCAAAAATAACGATTTTCACCAACATTGCAGATTGTTCAAGCCTCTCTCCCTACAACTAAACCTCGGCATTTGTACTTTCGAGTAATACAGACCAAGGACTGTATCTGGTAAAAGAACGACGGAGATTATATTTCTAGTTTTCAAGAAATCTTTATTGAGGACGCAGCAGATTTTGGAAAGTAGTATGTCAAACATTTTATCACTTTCTCGGTACTAACCTTCACAACAAATGTCAGATTCGTGATCTACGAAACAAATCGCAGCGAATGATATATTGGACAAATGTAGAAAAATAATCAAAACGTTCCTTAATACGCCATGATTGTAGCCCGCAAAGTTCTGATTGAAATGAGACATCTCCCTGCTCTACACGACCTTTCTTTGGAAGGTTATAGAATTTACAAGAAAAGCTCTAAATTATTTGTTTTGCTTCTTACTTGTGTAAATTTGAGCTGACAAGTCTGTAGCTTTTCTTGTAGATTCTATAACCTTGCAAAGAAAGGTCATGTCGAGCTGGGAGAACACCCACTAGATTTCGATCACAAAGCGCTTTACCACCTCGGATGGTTCCTTCGTGAGCCCACTTATAAATCAAAATAGTAGAATCCTTGCATTTGGTCAAGAGTAAAACGGAACAGGCTAAGACATATGTTTACATTTTAATCATTTAAATGTGTTGCATTTAGTATGAATTGCACGTACACAGAACTTTAAGTTTTTAGGCTTTGTGGCTCATGAGTTATAGCTGTACTACTTGAAACAAAATATTTTATTCTAAGATTTCGATTACTCCCAGGGAAATATTGTATGCACAATGACATATGAAAATGATAAAAACGAGGTTTTCTGATTAAAGTGAAGTGGATTTCAAAGAGAGTGCACTCATCTATTATCAAAGCCTTTGACAGTTTCAAGTATTAGTTCTGTATATATCCGATCTGTGCACAATCATTATGCTTGAAACTAAATTATATTTATTCATTTTCTTTCTTTGTAACTTTTAACACTCACACATCGCTTAATAACAACTTAATACATTGTATAAAATATGCAACAGTTTAGCTAAGCAATTCATATTGAAAATGTAAGCAATTTTGTATTTTTACAGTATTGTACATCTACGTTTCTTCTTTATAAATTCCGTATCAATGATCTTTTTGATATCTTCGTCTCTCCATTGTTTTATTTGATCTTGTACAATAGTGTTACTGTTAAGCGGTAAAGCCTGCAATAAATTTGTTCTAACAGCTATTTCTTTTTTCTTCGCATGTTCTTTGTCATCATCGCCTTCTAGTTCATCCGGATCCGGCGCTCCCGAATATAATATTTTGGCGGCACCATTACTGGTGAAGCGATTAAAAGTGGAATTATTCGATAAAGTTTCGTTAAATTTATCTCTCGTTGGACCATTCCATCCATCTGCGTGTGCAACACAAAAGACAACATGGTTGATATATGTCTCAAGTTGTAAAAATTCCAAAATATTATTTAATACTTCAGTATTTTCGTTTGTTAATTTTTCATTACCATTAAGAGTGACAATAATCCAGTGAATTTCATTTACGTTTAATTTCAGAAAATTTTTAATTTTATCAACAACAGTGTCTGGTGGCTCTTCTGTATCTGCTAAACCCATTGTATCAATCAGCTCGTAAATAATGCCATTATCTACAAATTTATATAATTTACAAGTTTTTGTTATTGAATTGGTTGACCTGTAACATTCTGCAGATTTTGCTTTTAACAATAAATTAATTAATCTTGATTTACCGGAACCCGTTTTACCAATAATCATGATTGTTTGCGTTTTTAATTCAGCCATATTGATCTTTCGTTCTTGTCAATGTATGTTGGGAACGCTCGATTCGCAAACTAAGATTTACAAGAAATATCAACAGAAATTACACAAGATCTAAAAATCGGAAAAAAGTGATTTGCATTGTTCTAACAAATATAGGCACACGTATCGCAAATATGATTAATATCATTGTTTGCTGTCGTTATTATGATATTGACTACAGTACACAATACACGAAACAACTCGATTTCAGTAATAATATCACAATGTTCGTTGACGCAAAGTAAAACACTAAACTACATTACTTATTTTATTGTCAAAATTGAATTCGGTGCTTGAAAACCGGTTCTCGGTTCCATACTGAAATTTCACTTTGGCCTTAAGCAACTCTAGGAGAAAGCGAAATTAGACTTTGTACTAGGTCAGTTGGACTGAATTTCACTTTGGATGCCGACATATATATTCCTGTTGTTCATCTAGTAATTGGCTGTTAAAAGATATTCTAACAGCTCGCGTTGTTAATGTCTCAATTAAACCAATTTTGTATTTTCTTGCTTGACAGCTAACTCAATGCGGGTCTACCTGTGGTGAGCTTCTTGAACACGTGTGTATCATATTTGACATTTTTCGAAGGGAAAAAGTAATTCGCGTTTTTCTCGAAACGATATTTCCTCTTGCTCACATTTCGTAGTTACTAGATTTCTCGGTGCCGAAATGTCGTGGAGAGCTCGGACTGGTCTACAATTGAAGCTAACGGCTTTGGCTACAGGGTAATAGAGCCCGATTTTTGATATTCGGCCTAGATTTGTGGTTAGACAAATATCTTTGTGGAGTTAAAGAGACTCTTTTGAATTTTTGACTTTTCATGACTTAATTTTTTCAGTGGTAGTGAGCATAGTTTAGATAAATAACATATAAAAATTTCACTAAGATTCATTAACTAGGAAAAAAGTTATACCTTTTTTATATGTCAGATGTGAGTGGTATAATGGCAGAGCAAGTCACTCATAGGTATAACATATATATTAAGGCTGTTCTCTGTGTAGATTAACGTCACTCATTCTTCATTGGTTTTTCCTTCATATCAGTCGAAGAGTATATATGTTGTAGCCAAAACTGGAATTCAGTCAAATCTTAGATTTGCCTAGCCAAAACTAAGATTCCACTTTTGGCTAGCCAAAACTGAGATCAGTCAAATCTGAGATATAACTAGTCAAAAAGTGGTATATCAATTAAAACTGAATTTAACTACAGTATTATCACGCTCTTGGTTTCTCGGCTATAAACTACAGATGTATT